CTTAAATCACAAAATCTATTGAAAAACAAGCATTTGAGTAAATTTTAAACTTTGGATATAGATTTCCACGTATAATTTAAATTTCATGCTCAATTCAGCGGAAATGTTGTTTAGGGGAATTAAGGTTTGATTCAGGGAAATAAAGTGACGAGTGCTGCCATTTTTTTCTCTAGTCAGTTTCCGTTTGTGTAGGGCAGCACATCTACAGCACAGCAGTTGTTTCGGTTATTTCTTTATTCTATTTATTCCAGTTCTATATAAAAATAGACGTTGGGACTTGCTGTTGTTAGTTTTGTGAATTTTTACAAATAAGTGAAACTGTATAAATAAGTAATATACAAGAATTTTTAATTATAATACTTCACCGTTAAACAATAATGGCTAACCAAAATCCAGACACGACGGCAGAAAAAGTGGAAAGTTCAACAGAAAATGGCAATGTTAATCAACAGCATAATGCAGGTGGCCACGGAGGACCTGGAGGTCAAGGAGGAGGTTTACAGGGTGGTAGGCGCGGTGGTAGATTTGGGGGCTCCGGTGGAGGTGGCGGACGAAGACACAACCCCAATGTAAGTGTTGTTTATTGTATAATTAATTAATGGTTGGTGTTTTTTGTAAGTATTTAACTTCAATGTTTCTGTTTGGCACGTTAAGTATTTAATATCATATTGTATACTTTTTTGTGATCACTTACTACTTTGGAGTCATTAACCTTCTAAAAGTTCAAAAACTTGATGGTAAGACTAATGACAGTTTGTTTTGTTTAATAAATAAATTTAATCAATAAGAGACGTCAAAGTTGTTAATAAACTATAAAACTGTATTTTACAGATGTACAGAAATTTAATAAGATAATATTCCATCGAAAATATTCTTTGGGCAATGTGAATGTTATTTTATATAGCTATCTACTTATTAATATATTATTTATTTATTTGTAAAATTTCATGACTTTCTGTACAAAACTGGTGAAGATTGTTAAAGTAAAATAATCCTTCATTATCAAAATATTCAGATTCATTACTTGTTGCCTCCTATTTGTTATAGGTTTTGAAGAAATTTGAAGATATCAAGTAGTATTCAAAGATATTTGGTTTTATTTGCCTTTGAATATTTGAGATAAAGAACTATGTGATTTTTTTTGTTTAACACATCACCAAATTTTCAATTTCAGCAAGTTTCATCTGCCTGTTTGAATTGGTATCCCTTATTGAGTAATTTTAGTTTGTTGTTTTACTTTTCTTTAATGTACACGTTGTTTGTAATTTCATGCCAATGCATATTTATAAACAATTACATTTTATATTTTCTCAGATCAAACAGGAAAATTTCGAACGAAAACGCCCAAGAGGTAATATGTCTGGTGGACCAGGAGGTCCTCGTGAAATGGGACCTGGAGGCGGCCCTGGGAGAAACCCTGACGACCGTCTTAATGAAAAACTCGCTCAACTTAGTGGACATACTATTGACCTTCCACCATTAGACACAACAGAGAAGAAATTTTCTGGTAGGAGTCGGCTTTACATCGGCAACATTTCTCCAGATGTAACTGAGGAAGAATTAAACGAACTGTTTAAGAAGTATGGTGAAACTAGCGAACTTTTCCTTAACAAGGAAAAAAATTTTGGATTTGTTCGCATGGTATACCTTTTATATTTTGTTTTATCAAGCATTCTGCTTATATTAATCTTGTTTAGGATTATCATGCAAATGCCGAAAAAGCTAAGCGTGAATTGGAAGGCACTACAATAAAAGGTCGTAACCTGAAAATCCGTTTTGCTCCGAATGGTTCTAGCATTAAGGTGAAGAATCTTACTCCTTGGGTGACAAATGAACTTCTTCATGCTGCTTTTGGAATTTTTGGTGAAGTAAGTAGCTATTTGTTTCATTACAATTCTTATAAACTTACGAAAGTTGTAATGTGTATAATTCTTACAATTGTAATTTATTTTTTCCTAGATTGAACGCGCGGTTATAATAGTAGACGATCGTGGGAAGTCTACGGGAGAAGGAATTGTAGAGTTTGCTCGTAAAAATGCAGCAACTCAGGCTGTTCGTAAATGCAATGAAAGTTGCTATTTTATAACTGCTTCTCTGCGACCAGTAATAGTGGAACTTTATGAAGCTCTTGATGAATGGGACGGTTATCCAGAGAAAAATGTCAACAAAAAGAATCCAGAGTACACAAAGGACCGTGAAGTGGGCCCCAGATTTGCAACTCACGATAGTTTCGAACATGACTACGGTACTAGGTGGAAACAATTACATGAACTTTATGCTCAAAAAGAGCAAGCTCTTAAAAAAGAATTGGAGATGGAAAAAGAAAAATTAGAAGCACAAATGGAGTATGCTCGCTATGAGCATGAAACTGAAATTCTTCGAGAGAAACTGAGAGTGAGAGAAATGGACCGTGAAAGGCAGAAAAGGGAATGGGAAATGAAAGAACGTCAGGCTGAGGAACAAAGGCAAAGGACTGAAGAACAAATGAGAAGGCAACAAGAGGAAATGCAGGCAAGAATGATGCATCAAGAAGAAGAACTTAGGAGACGTCAACAAGAAAATAGTCTGTTCATGCAAGCACATCAACTTGACAACATGCTTGATCAACAGGAACAGGCCTATCAGCAGCCCGATGATCGTGGTTTATATGGCACATCTAGTGAGTATAATTGTTTTTCCTAATTTGATTGAGTTTTACTTATTTTTTTATTTTATTTTACAGTTCCACCAGATATGGGCGGAAATAATCCACTGGTATGTACATTATTGTCTTATTTTAAAGAGGATAATTTTATTTTTTATAACAAAAATCCATTTTTCCGTATCTTCAGAATAGAAAATTGTTTTCTAGTAAACAAAGAGAATTTCTCACAATTAAAAATTCAGTTAAGATGCCTTTTTTTTAGTAAGGAACAAGCTTTTATTTTTGCCGTTTAGGATAATCATTAAAATTGAATATTATAATTAATTTACATTCTTGAAATGAGAAATGCTGCAAGTCACTGATTTGACTTTTGAACTTTTTCTTTACAACGGCCATCTTAATAAGTGCTAAATTGCGGACTTATGTTTATCTAGGTCAACTACAATTGCTAATATTTTTTCTGATTACGCGACGATTTACATCTGGATGTGTATGATTGTAAATGGCTGCATTTTTAATTCTTCATGTTTATTCGGTTTCGTTAATTGTCATCAGTTTTTAATTTATTGTCATAAAAGTGGAAACACCAAAGATATAAAGTATTCGGTTTTTTTTTTTCGTATTTGAAATATACTTCGCCAGAAAAAGTAGTATGATTATATACTTTATACATTTATGCGTAGTGATAATGAATATTTGCTTATAACATTAATACAGTATAATGTTAAAATATAATTGATCCAATAGCAAATTAGGAGACATACCGAAACTTCTCAAACTTATTTTTTTTGTAATATTACTTGAATTTTATTCAGAAATGTTCTTTATGATTGTAAAAGAAAACCTAGATCAAACGTATTTATTTTTATATCGAAATTTTGAAGTATTGGTCATGTAAATGATAGCGTTTTTGAATACCAATTACAATATGGTCGAATATTGTCATATAAATGGTTCTTTTTGTTTTCAATTACATAAGCTTACTATCTTTCATGAATGCTACATAACGGCAGCAATTACATAAACTTCTAATTGATTCATGAATAAATGTGATAGAAATTCGAATTTTGGCGAAATTTTGGAGTTAAATATATAATGTTATTCGTTCTGTTTTACTTTAGGTATAATTCTCTATCTACTTAAAAGTGTATTTATAAAAAAGCATCCTTCGCAGTACTTTATTTTTTGCTAGAAGGTATCATCTAGCATACTTCTGGAATACTTACAAATTTACTTGAATTATTACGTGCGTTTTCTTATTAATGTTGTTGTTTGTTAATTGGTCTTAATTTTGTGTGTCAAATGCTGTCTCAAATTGTTTACGCTGTTGGTTGACTTCATCTCGTCATATTCCGTTGGATATTTTTTTCTTCAAATACTTATAGGTTACTCGTAATAATAATAATAGTTTCCTGCACTAGAGAGTAAAATAATACGATTGGGGGAATAAGTTACTAAACGTTAATAAATGGTCTACAAAATTAATTATATGAAGGTATTTTGTGGCGTTCTGTTTTCAGACATCACATTGGGGTAGGCATATCATCTTTTTAAAACTATGTTTTGGTGTAAGTTGGGATCTTTTTTATCTTTTTCTTTAGCGTTACTTACCAAAATAGCGATTATTCTTGGCACTCTTGAGCTAGATCGCGTACTGTGAAAATAGTTTGAAGAAAGGTGGTAACACTTTGTATTTTTTAACGAAATTATTACCGGCCTTACCTTCTATAATGCATCATCACAGTACTGCCCAACCTCTTATCTAACGAGTGCCAAGCTGTACGAAAATACAATTGCACATTTTTAATTTGTGGCGCAGTTAGTTTTGGATGAGCCCTCTATCAAAATTTCTTGAAGTCCCCTTTTCGAAAAACAGTAACACTCGCAAAAACAAAATGCACTTAGAAATAACAAAAACTGCTATTTATATACAGTACATGTATATTAAAGAACGGAAATAGATACTTTTCGCGCTTTTGTGTTATGGCAAACGTATTTACTGAAGCAGTTATAGCTGAAGAAGCTTTTAGATTCTCAAGTACTTTTTCTATTTACAGTATTGCTAGGTGTAAGTATTTAAAAAATTCTATTTAGAAAAGCTTAAGCTGGGTTGTTACTGGAAGTATCAAAATTAGCACGCTATTATAATCTCTGGGAAACTGAAGGCGATACTATTAAAATGTGTCGATGTAATTATTAAAGTACGGAGTATTTTTTTTTTTCGTTACAAGGTAACTTACGATTAGTGTAATTATTGCGAGTATCCGGTGTTTCCATAAGCGTTTCGATCCACCTTTATGGTACTTCCCCGATACAAAATAGTGGAGCTGTGACCGAGTATTGTATTATTATTTATGTATTATGGCTGAGCATTTATCAATAGAAAATATAAATAATTATTTCAGCATTACAAAGTAAAATTACGAAATTTTATGTTAAACACCTTCAGCTTATTCCTACAAATGGTGCAGCGGTAACAACGTCACTGACCGTAATAATAATTTATTTCTTATTGTCTCTTGCGCACAGTTTGAAGTGGTTCTATGATTAGATTTTCGAATTTTTCATCTATCAATTTCTTTATTTGTCCGTGAATAAATCAAGTTTATGGTTAAATAATCATACTATCTTCGTTAAAAATCTCTGTGCTTAGCTGAAGGAATAATTAGAATTTTCATTGGAAATTCATTTCGTCTTTTTTGTGAAACGTAGAGGAGGTGCGGAGGAGTGTTTTTTTGATCAGCATCTGACACACTAATTAAATTTGAAAATATTAACAAATTTCAACGATTATCCAATTAATTTTTGTATATTTGGTTAGGATAACAAACCTTTCATGAACACAAATGATCGCTATCATCGCTTTGACGAGCGTAATATGAACCAGATGGGTCGTTCAGGTGGAAATATGGGGGGCAGAGGTCATTGGGTCAACGAAAATAGGGCCGGTGGTCCTTCAGGACGAGACGATTATCCTAATAAGAGGCGCCGCTATTAAATCCATTATAAGATTAAAATTTTACACTAAATTAAGTGGAACAACAGAAATTTTATGTCTTACAATTAATTTACTGTACCCTCTAATTATTAATTTCAATTTTTATTCGTCCGTTAAAAAGACTCTTTGGAAAATTGTTTTCTAGTAAACAAAGAGAATTTCTCACAATTAAAAATTCAGTTAAGATGCCTTTTTTTTAGTAAGGAACAAGCTTTTATTTTTGCCGTTTAGGATAATCATTAAAATTGAATATTATAATTAATTTACATTCTTGAAATGAGAAATGCTGCAAGTCACTGATTTGACTTTTGAACTTTTTCTTTACAACGGCCATCTTAATAAGTGCTAAATTGCGGACTTATGTTTATCTAGGTCAACTACAATTGCTAATATTTTTTCTGATTACGCGACGATTTACATCTGGATGTGTATGATTGTAAATGGCTGCATTTTTAATTCTTCATGTTTATTCGGTTTCGTTAATTGTCATCAGTTTTTAATTTATTGTCATAAAAGTGGAAACACCAAAGATATAAAGTATTCGGTTTTTTTTTTTCGTATTTGAAATATACTTCGCCAGAAAAAGTAGTATGATTATATACTTTATACATTTATGCGTAGTGATAATGAATATTTGCTTATAACATTAATACAGTATAATGTTAAAATATAATTGATCCAATAGCAAATTAGGAGACATACCGAAACTTCTCAAACTTATTTTTTTTGTAATATTACNACCAATAGTGTGGTAGGATAGGCACATCTGACCTTCTAATGTAGGTTTCCTTTTTCTTTATTTTAGTCCCATATTTTGTTTTTTTTGTATTAGATAAAGCGAATATTGACATAATTTATTTGCACGGTCATGGTACAGTACAGTATAGTACAGTACAGTGTAGTTATAGTACATGGTTTACCCACCCAGCATATCTTGTTGCTGATGTGTTAGGATGTTTTTATTTTATTTCATTTTATTTTATAAATGTATTGTGTATTATTCAATTTGCAAAATATGCATATTGTTTATGCGTTTTATTTAGTTAAATTTAGTATGACGGCTTATCGATTTTTAATGAAGTGACCGGAGAATAAAGTTGATTAACGTATATTATTACAATCTCGTAGTGCTAATAAGTTGTGTTAATATTTTTTAGAAACATATATTTTTCAACGTAGGTTATTTTGTCGTATTGTGCTGTAATTTTCGTCAATTTTGTGAAAACCGTGTATAGGTTGTAGGCTTGACTTAATGTGTAATTAATAATATATCCAATATGGAAATATGAATTTGTTTGTCTCATCTGCTTCCTATGGAACCATATTTGAATTTCTTTAATCTTTCTAGAACAGATTTTTTCTTCATTAAAAAATTTTCGCGATAATGTACGTATTAATTCTTCAGAATGATTTTTGGTTTATTCGAGAGTCACACTGTTGCTGAAGCATGTTGCTTTCAACTGTACAACATAAGTGTTATTCATGTTTCTCAAACTCTCTTGAGAAGCGGGCATACAATTAATAATTGTGCATTGGTTAATAATTATTATTTTTCAGGTGTTTTTAGGCTTTATTCTCTGTATACGTTTTAAGCATTATACATACCAATTCGGATATATTATAAACAACTATTGCAGAACATATCTTTCTAATTAAACATTTCTTAAAAGTTGCTACTAATATTTACAGATGCAGATTTGTGTTTTGATTTTCTTAATGCTACTCAAACGAAATATAAAGGCAGATCATTTTTCGTATTCCATACCATCAACAGCTGTATAAAAATTAGTCTTTTAATATCAAATCATAGAACAAAACTTTAAGACATTCGAGAGTTCGTCTTGTTAAAACTTGGGTGTGCACCGCAACGTCTTATAAGACACGAAACGTCAGCAACATATATGTGAGACATTTTCAAAGCTCTTTTAATGTCAGAGAATAATCTGAAACAGAAGAATGGGTTATCTCTTACAAATCGCTAATTCTTCTGTTTCGGATTATCCATCAACATCACAAGATGCTTGAAGAAATGCTATGCGATCGAGGACGAAACGTCTTGAACTTCACAGTCAGCAACACCCCCGGATTTAGGAAACTTTTCGAAACTTGTTAATTTTAACGGTACGGTACCCTTTTTAATACTGCATTCTTGTATGCATATAAACACTTATTATATGTTTGGAAAAAATACTTTAAACTTATTGAGTTACATTTTTAGAACGTGTACTGAAAGTTTCGTTGCCTACATGAGAGATTTTCGTAATTATTATTTTTATTTATTTTCACTTAAGAAATGCCTCGAAAAGGTCGTAATGTTCTTCGATATAGCGGATCATTTGTTTCCGAACATCATCTATATATAAGCCTAGAACTCCAGCGGAAAATAAAATTTTTCAAAAAACGAAATGCTGTAGACAAAGTAGGTTTTCACTTTGTCTTTTTGAAAATTAACTTCAATGAAATCCGGACAAGAACTGCGAAAGGATTATTTTTGGACTTCAAGACAGCCCTCAATTTAAATGGTAAATATTTCAAACTTAGCTTGTTTACGAAGTGTTTTTGTTTAATTCAGTCATTTGAATATACTGAAATTTAATAAAACGAATTAAAGACGTAAATAAAGGCACTTCTATTTCTCAAAAAATATTGAGATTAGTAAATGTATTTATCCGCCTTTCTCCTACGAAGTAAATCGGTTTTTTAATTTGAACTTCATTAAGTTCTGTTTCTGAATAAGGCACCCCTAAGTACATAGAAATATTAATAAATATAAGGCGTATGATGAGTGGATATTCGTTTTACTTTATTATCTGCTTGATATTTAATATATATTTAGACTATTAATTATAATAGAAGACCAGAGCTGGGCAAAGCCCTCGCTAAGAGCCAAAAGTCTTTATTTAAAGTACTTTAGCCCTTTAAGCTCCAATTAAACTATAAAACACAAAGACTTCGAATTACCATTTTTTTTTTAAAGCAATTATATTTAAACCCGTAAATACTATGCTTGAGACACTTTGAAGGAGCTGAAATTACAAAATATAAACCGTTCTTATGAAGTAATGGTTCTACTAAACCCCAACTGATCATGAAGGGGTTTGAATTATAGTGCTTTTAAGCCCTGAGGGGTTAAAAGCTTTCATTCAAGCACAATGCACTAAAGTTCTGTCCAGCTCTGGTGCAAAACTTAATTTCCTTATCGTACAATACTTAATATGACTGTTTAAAAATTTTATCTCCACATCATCTATATGTCCTAGCATGAAATACATCATATTGAATATTTTTCCTTGCGATTAGTTTAACTAAATGTATTATATTCTTAAAACAAACAAAATAATAATATTCTTCCAGGTTTGTGAGTCGTGGTCTAAAGGCTGGTTGATTGCCTAACGTTTAATTAGCGGCTGCGGCTGATATCTTCGGAGGTTTAGCATCAGGTAATTAATGAACTTTTAGACCACGGCCTACGCACCCGGAAGACAATTATCAATTAGCGTATAACACCGGCCGTGAAAGCTTACAGAATTCCCTAACTGAAGTTTGTTAATATATAAAACTGTAAAAAAGTCAGGCGGCACCTAAAATGATAAAATTGCTTATTTCCAAGCTAATTGATTTCGTAGAGCGGTTTTTTCTATCGTTTATCGTTGTAAAAAGTTAACTTCTAAGAAATTGGAGTGCCAACGTTTGTAATGGATATATCATTACTATTAAAATAAATGTATGTCAATTTTTAATTCAGATTTTATAAAAAGTTTTATTTACAGGAGGAAAAAACATACTTTAAAGCTGCTGCTGGTTGATAAATGTGCAACGGTTGTAATTTTTTGGAAGAAAACATAGGGGCATCTTTCAAACGGTATGAGGCTTACAGAATTGGGTATGTACAAAGTTCAAAAATTGCAAAGTGTACAAAACTCCTTTGTGTAATATACATAAAATGTAAATCTTTGCAAAAGTGTGAGTTGTATTTGTTCTTTCCGAAAATATCTAATAAATGATGGATTATACTTAACAACTGTATTTTCATATTATGGCAAAAATTGACGCTATTTGCAAGTAATGTGGCCTAGATGTGCAGTGAAATTATACCCTTATGTAATCATCACGCTTTATGGTGCTTCAGACACCAATAGTGTGGTAGGATAGGCACATCTGACCTACTATATATTTCCTATCTATGGGCACGACTTTGCTGTAGGCATTTAAGGTTATGTGTATGTTGTTTTCCCACATTGAATTTAAATTTCGTTGTTTATTGATAAATTTGTTTTTGAAAGTATGGATAGCCGGTAACTGAATAACTTAATCTTGTTTTATACATCTGTTTAATCCGTTTTAATCTAAGGTTATGCGTTCAACGTTCTGAAAGTGAGGATGGAAACAACTCCTATTTACCGGGATATAAAATAAACTATTCATTATCTGGAAGTAGTGGTAGTTTATGTGAAAAAAGTTCAGTAACCACACCTAAAAGGAAACCAGACAACTCGTCTAAAAGTTTGATCTTTACGGATTATCAGTCAGTGGCAGATAGATGTCGAATAGCAATAGAGGGAAGAGGAGGTTGCATTAGTATTGAAGGGCACAACACGTCCAAAAACAATAAGAGATAAGTCTTCTTTACTTTATTTTATAAAAGGATACAAGCTCTGCAATTTTACAAATATATACATAAGCTTATAATTTAAGATAAGCATTAACATAAAATAAACGTCATAACATTTGATACAAGTTTAATTTATAATTAAAACTTAAAAAATGACTAATTGTTACAGATATCTAAAGAGGTGGGTTCTTCCCTTGTTACAAATGCTTCTGTATCTATATGCTTTTGCCCCCCTATTAAGTAAATAACAATGGGAAACAAATAAATATGAGTATGATCCATTACTATTAAGTTATTTATGTTATTTACTACACGTTTGAAGCTCTTATTAGTCGACTGATGTGAAACGTTCATTAAATAAGAGTATTTTTGGAGTAATATACTCAGCCATCTTATTTTGTTCTTATTTTACAACACACAATTTGTTCGTTTTTAAATAAATTCGCACAAGATTTGCACAAAACTATTTTTAACAAATTTATGTTTATTTATAATGATTATAAACATTTGTCATTCTTTGTTTAACGCGTTGCACCCAGTTGTACCACCGATACAGTTGTCACAATATGAAAGAGAGAGACGGTAAATGTATCAACAACTGACAAAAACAGTGCAGGAGTTATACAGAACTTTTACTGTAGTTAATTCTATTAAACAAATAATTTTAGTTTTATACTTTTTGAAAACGTGTACTGTAATATCTAACAAATATTGAATTACTGTGTAACTGTGTTTAAAAAAGTAGCTAGAATTAATCAATGAAAGCTACAGACTTGTTTACGTCACTGACGCGAAAGCTTGTTCACTAGTTGGACCCATTCAGAACGGTAAGATACATTCACCAGTTGGTATCGTTTAATTTCAGTTGTTTTTGATTTTTACTTGATATATTATATGTGTGATGTTGTTTCATTACAGTTTAAATTAACACAAAAATTATCATTTAAGATGTTAAATTGGTTATTTTAATCCCTACCTATAACTGCTATTGATCTATAATTTTTAAGATTCGCCAGTTTTTTCTTATAGTCTTGTTACTGCAAAGGGTATTTGCGAAAGCAATAAAAATTTGTAAAAATCATCACGCAAAAAACTGTGTATCAATTTATGTTTGTTTTTTTCATTAAATAACATTTGCGAGAGGTCATTTTATCTACATAAAGCATTGTTCTTTTGCTGATTGTATGAAGATTTCAAATGTACAAGATATATTAAAATTAAAGTCGAACTGTCTTGTCAGTCAGGTATATTTGTAGTAAAAATTTACAAAATATGTAATATATTAAAGATATATAGCTGGGTGTACAATATATATATATATAATATAAATATTACATTCTTCCACGTTTTTTGTTTACTTTGTGGCGTGTGTTACCGAGGTGGTAAGCGATTGTTTTTTTTTTTTTTAATTCTTAAATAGTGAGTGGTGTTTTTTATTTATTTTATTGTTTAATTGATACTTCGTGTGACACTCTTAAAGCCTGTTCAGTGGGATGTCCTCGTATACCATCACATCTACAACAATGATAAAAGATAAATTGTAGACTTATCAGAAATAAGTTTTGCATAAGTAAAAAATGAACTCACTTGTATGCTGGTGGTCACTTTAAAGTGCAGATTTTCCGTAATGTGCAAATAACTGAACGACATTTTTAAGGTAGCAAGATTAAATAACAAAGCAAAATATAGTTTCATACAATTTCGTACGTACGCATTCAAAAATATATGAACCTGAAACCGTAAAGCTGCGCTTGTTGATCTAATTTTAAAACGGACAATTTTTTTGATGGTAAAATAAAAGGAAAAACCAACCAGTAATGCTTAATATACCCTGTAAAACCGGGACTTAAAATTAGTAATTATTTTATTTCAAATCGGCAAAGAACAATGCTTCTTGTAGATACACTACCTCTTGTTACTTATTCTGAAAGAATTATTACATTTCTCCTTTGTATGTATGTGTATATTGAAAAGCGTGTAATTCTTTTAATTCAGTATTACCTTTTTTGACCAATTTTATTCTTATTCTATACTCTATATTCTATAAACTGCGCCCAATGAATCTCGTTTCGTACCTCGTGCTGTATTATAATTTTGTTAAAGTCCGGTTAGGTTAGGACAGTAAGGTAACTTTAGGAAAAGACAACACGAACGAAGTAAGAAACGGAACAATAATAATTATTCACGTAAGGTACGAAACGACTATATATATATATATATCTTAAAAAGGACTACAACTTTATTAAATTAAT